AGAAGATCACCAGGACTCCATTGCCCTCTCTGCAGAGCATTTACCACCGCAGGGTGCGTAGGAAGGCTGCCTCCATCCTCAAAGATCCCACCCAACCCCAACACGAACTGTTCACTTCTTTGCCCTCTGGCTGGAGGTTCAGAAGTGTGAAATGTAGGACAACTAGAGAAGCATGAGAAGCAGGTTTTCAGTTGACAGTCCGATGACAAAGCAGTGACCGGAGTGGACACATGAACACATGGCGGACGCACTGTGTAAGATTTGATTCTTATAGGCTTCAGTTACTTTATAAGCTTTAGTTACTTTTCATACCTTTATTTTCCTTGCTTATATTAACCCTTCCATCCTTCTTCTTCTTCTTCTTTCGGCTGTTCCTGTTAGGGGTCGCCCCAGCGAATAATATGCTTCCATCAGCATCCTCTACTCTCACCCCAATTAACTTCATGTCCTCTTTTAGCACATCCATATATCTCCTCTTTGGCCTTCCTCTTGACCTCTTGCCTGGCAGCTCCATCTCCAACATCCTTCTACCAGTATAACCACTATCCCTCCTCTGCACATGTCTAAAACATCTCAATCTGGCCTCTCTGACCTTGTCCCCAAAACAGCCGACCCGAGTTGTCCCTCTGATGTGCACATTCCTAATCCTGTCCCTCCTGAAGAGAACCTCACCATCCTCATCACTGCTACCTCCATCTCTGCCTCTTGTCTTTTCCTCACTGTTACAGTCTCTAACCCATACAGCATAGCTGATCTTATTACTGTCTTGTACACCGTTGCTTTGATTCTTGCTGACACTCTTCTATCACACAACACTACTGACACCTTTCTCCACCCACTCCAACCTGCCTGCACTCGCTTCTTCACCTCTTTCCCACACGCCCCATCACACTGGACTGTTGACCCCAAATACTTAAACTCCTGCACCTTCTTGACCTCAGCCCCCTGTAACCTCACTGTTCCACTTCCCTCCCTCTCATTCATACACATGTATTCTGTCTTACCACGACTGACTTTCATTCCTCTTCTTTCCAGAGCAGACCTCCACCTTTCCAGGTGTTCTTCCACCTGCTCTCTGCTCTCACTACAGATCACAATGTCATCCGCAAACATCATTGTCCACGGAGATTCCTGTCTGACCTCATCTGTCAACCTGTCCATCACCATAGCAGAAGTGGAGATAGTATAATGGAGCTAATTCTGACAAGAGAAAACAAAAGAATGTGTGACTCTTTGAAACAAAA